ACGTGCTTATGGCTGATCCTCCACATCTGGTCACATGAGACTGAAGCTGTGGTACAGTAATTCAAAACATTGATTGGATGTAAGAAATGTAAGAAAGAATCTATTGAGGAAATACAATAGTTTAAACTAAAGTTTAAACAAGATAAAGTAAGTAGTAGTTTCTTGAAAAAAAAACCAAAACAAAGCAAGCAAACAAAGCAAAATAATCAAACTCAAATGTACTGGAAAAAATATCCAAGAAAGTCCCTTCCATACATCGTGCCACTGATGATATGTGAAGTGAGTTGTGCTGATCACACAGCAAGTTTGAATTGGAAACCCTAATTGCCCAGGGATCTTGGAATTCATCACAAACTGGCCTGAAGTTGAAAATTTTGGACTGTTGTCATCAGAGGAAGAAGAAAAGGTGACATGTGCTGGTGTGGCCCCACCATGCAATCAGCTATCCAAATATGAATAGTGATGCGCTCTCTTCACTGGTGGTTCCTGACATACTGTAGGAATACATAAGAAATAGGAAACTTCTATATGGTGACACATGCAGTGAGTGACAGAAGCTTTTGAGGGACAAGGTGGATCAAGTCAGGTTTCAGATCTGAAAGCTGTACAGCTGGTTTTGGATGTTGCTGAACAAAAGAAATGGCCAGCACTTTACCTCTCCGCTGACCCGTGGATGGTAGAAAATGCTCTGTGGTGTTGTCTTCCTCAGGAAACAGTCATCCACAAACTTCTCCAATGTGAGTCCATGCCGTGGGCAACAGTTCTCCACAAACTGCTGCAATGTGGGTCACTATTCCATGCAGGGAGGCTGGGCTAAATGACCTTTAAAAGTCCCCTCCAACCCAAATTATGGTGTGATAGACAGCACATGTTGCAGCCATTTAACTCGCAGAGGTTTACTCCGGGCTACTCCTTTGGAGAGGATGGGCTGTCCTGTCCTGCCTTCCAGATACTTCTTTTTGAATATACCCTCTTAATTTTAATTTCAAATAGTTGTCACAGCATTGCTTTGGTTTTGCTGAACCTTCTTAGGACTCTGAATAGGGAATTGTTTAAGTGCCTCTAAAACTGCTTACTGTGAAACAGAAGCATTTATTCTGTTACTAGAGGTAATCTGTTTTTCTGTGTGCTTCTGTGGGTTTGGGAGATTCTTTTGCATATCGATACTGAGGCATCACCTATCTAATCTTGTGGGAAACCCTTCCAAATTTGTCAAGGTACTCCAGCACTGCTACCTCAGACTTCTCAGCACCCAGGAAAGATGCTGTCTAGGGAAAGCTTGCACAGCTGGAACAATCTCTGGGAGTATAAACCACAGTGGGATTAAAGAACATGAACAAACTGATATGTGAGAACAAATATGATGTGCAGAGGCTGTGAGTGACATCCAGTGGGGCTTTCTCATCCAAGGCAACCAAGGTAGAGAAGCTGAAATATTTCCTAAGCCTAAACTAGCCCCCAAACTTTAAAGCCAACAATAGGTCTTTGCTTCTTGACCATAAATGTGGAAGCAGGCAGATCACGTTCCTGCAGCTTTGAGAAGGACTCCTACACTTTGGTTCAGTGTCAGGGCAAACAGCCACGCTGGGGCTCCAGGTCGAGCTGCAGAGGCAAATTTCACCAGCATTCATTGAGGGATCTGCAAACCCAAAAGAAAATAACCTTGAATGCCAATTCCTAAGCCATGCCATTCCAAATAAAAATCATAAACTGTAGTAGGAGGTATAAATTCCATATTGACATTCTGCTCCAGCCTCAAGCATTGGAGAATAACACACTGTTTAGGCTGCTGAATGAGTGCTCTGTGTGCACTGAGTCATTAAAAACCTGTGGAATAGTCAGCCATGGCTGCACAAAAATAAATATACAGCTGACTGTAAGTAATCCCTTCACCTGCTTTTTCAAGTAGAATTTTATTAAGATGTTTTTAAAAGGGAATGTTGGTTTTTTGTGTTTTTTTTTTTTTTTTAAACACAGAGATTTTGGTATATTTGAATTGAAACCATATGTCAGTTTATGCTGTTCACATACAACATCTGACTAGTTTTAAGTTTAATACATTGTTAAAAACAACTAAATAAAAATCTGAGTGAATTTGTTAGGATACAAAAAGGACATTTATCAACTCTTAAAAACAGATCTGTAAATACAATGAATTTTACTATAGAAGCATGAGGAAGGTTATTCTTTTTACACTACAGTTGGAAAGATATGGCTGAAAGGAGATAAAACTAGTTAAATCATATGATTTTTTTTTTTTTTACATTTCCCATCTCATCTTTCTTTTATCTGCACAGAGGGGATACTATTACTTTTATTTCAGTTTTACCTCAGGCAGGAAGGCTCTCTGTGGAGACATGTTTAATAAAACTACATATATTTGGTTAGCCTAAACAGGTAGGCTCCTCCTTTAAATTCACAAGAAAACAATTTAGAAGATTAGTGAGGAGAGGAAATTTGATGAATAATCAGTAAAAATGTGTCAGGATCTAGCTTTTATTCAGGAATTCATGCCTGATCTTAACATATAAGATTATGTATAAATCAGAAAATACCATCCTTATAAAGATGGTAAAACTGGAAATTCTTAAGTGTGTTTAAATTGTTGGGGAATTGACCTGAAGAACAGGCCTGGCAAAATCCGGCTTTCAGAAAATTTATGTTCTCAAGACCTTGCCTCAAATGAATTCATTAGATCACAGGTCTACAAAACCTGAGAAACTGTGTAAATGGATTAATCCCATTGGAGATGACATCAACATTTCCTCACCAAACTCTTAAAGACTTCTTCCAAGGCTTTCATTTAAATTCATTGCTACCCCTGCCTGAGAAGGCCATGTCAGATTGTAAACTTCCTCTACTTTGTGAGACAGGGAGAGAAGGAAAAAGAAACTTTTGGGGATTTTAAAACCTTATCTTACTCCTAACAGGTTAGATGGAAGGAGAAAGCATTTTTTATGAATAATTAGTGAACTGTGTTTCTGTAACAACTGCAAAGTATGTGTTTCCACACGCAGCCTTTTCATGCTTACAGAGAACATTAAAAATAACACAGAAAGGATTGAAAATCAAATCAACATGTTAAAAGCATGAGATGCTGTCTCTATAACAAACCACATTTACAGTAATTGGAAAATTTCTCCATGTGCTGGCCAGTAATGATGTTTAAGTGTTTTCATTTCCAATGAAGAAGTGTTATTATTTCCACTTCAGGAACCTTGCCAAAGAGATCCTAGCAATATCCCTTTTGGGGTTCAGGGTTTTTCATCAACAGGCAGAAACTGTACTACTAAAATACTAGTACATTTTTATCCTACTTTGACTCTCTTTTAACCTTTTCCCTTCTTAGGAAGTATCCAGTTGCATCTTTATAAAAGCTTCACTTTATAAAACAAACTGAGCATAGCCTCAGTTTTCTGCTTTAAGGAAATTATATTTCCATCAAATAAATCAGCACCCACTACAGAGATGGGGCTGTGGTAAAATCTTTTTCCATAATTTTTTGCCAAGGCCAAGGTCATTTTGGTGTTGGCTCAAACTGAAGTAGGTTCAATATTAATTGCAAACTCTTCTGAGACAAACAGCCTGACAGATCTTTTCCATTAGTTGTATTCACATTCAGCCTCATACCCAATCTTTCTATAGCTACTTTTGTTTTTTAAATTTCGTTTTCTGTAATGCTTATCCAAAACAGAACAGTGTTAATGGACTCAGAGGATTCTGTGCCCAGATACAGATGTGATTTCAGCCTGAAATTTGTGAAGGAGAAAAGGGTTATCATAATCAGTTAGCTTGAATAAGCTAACATTAAAGTTGTTTTCTCTACAAATTTGTTTTTGAGATATCTGTTGGTCAGCTGTTCCAATTCTGAATTAAATATGCCTTTTTGAGAAATTCAAAATTTCAGTGAAACCCCAGACATTCCTCTGGTCCTGAAATATTCAGTATGGTTTGTGCTTCAGAATACTGATTCTGAATTTCTGCTTGTATTGCAAAGTTATACTGAATTAATACTAAATGTGTTATAAAAGCTTCATTTCCCAAATCTTTTTTTCACTTTACAGAATTTCTGGTATGTTCTTACGGCAATTTTCCTACAAAAATCCCTGGCAGTGCTCCTTCATGGACTATTTCACGCTCCCCCCCCCCCCCCCCCCCCCCCACTTGATGCCATTTAAGCATTTAGCACTGCGCCCTACAACTAGAAATTACATACATATAATTTTTAGTCTTGTTTTAGAACAAGGTTTCTTTATGTAAAGGCATAGTACAGTTCATAGCAGGAAAACAGAAGCCAGTAGTCAGAAAACATTTATACTCGGAAGCCTGTGGGGCCTTTAGGACCATATAACATATTTCTGTTCTCCAAATAAACGGCCATTTACATCTGAAATATTCTGATGTTGCAAAGTTTACCATGATCTACAACAGAAATAGCAACTACATGTGAGCCAAAAACCAAAGATGGAGCAAAGCTTGCAGAAGAAAATGTATACAACTGAAATCATCTAAGTCCAGCACTGAGCTGTGCATTTGCCATCAGTTTATAGGCAATTTCTGGGCTGGAGGCTGATTTTGGTGCTGCTTAATCAGGTTATGCAGTGTAATTTCTATAGTTCTTTATATTACTTTAAACTTGGTTTAAAATGTTCAGTGGAAAAACAGTGGCTTTACCACAGCAGAGTATATAATGCCAAGTATTTGTAAGACAACAGTACCAGTATGCTGCTTTATTTTTGGCTTCCTGTACTTTTTCCTCATTTATACAGCAGGAACTTTTAAATGCTTGGGTTGGCATGGAGGATAAAATACTGAAATCAACCAGTATTTTGACAATGCCCAGGATTTAAATGAGGGCCTTCATGGGAGCATGCCACAAAGGAAGATCTGTTTCTTGGATGCATCCCAAAAGCTCCCCAGATACCAAATGTAATGCAGCAATCCCTATGGACTCCCAGCAGAAAATGCAACATTCATCAGAAAAGCAGCTTGCTCACTTCCCTGGTTCTCTGCACCCCAGGTTTCTGGTATTCCTGATAAATTCCCTTCTGTCTTCCTTCAGTTTTATTGCCCTCTGGACTTCCAGTTATTGCCAGAAATTACAAAGTTCTACACTGACTGATTTTTATGTTGTTTCTTCAGGCTTTGCTGTGGTGTGCCTGCTGCTGTTAACTGTGATGACAATTTCAGACCCTTCAACTCAAGTCTTGATAGAGAAAGGTGATTGTTACTTTCATGTAATATCTTTCAGAACAAAAAACCAACAACAACTTGATTTTCATTTGTATGCACATGGTTTCATGGACAGTTTAAGGGTATTCACATTAGATTATCTCATTGCAGTCTTGAGACTTTTGTCTTTTAGGTGTGATTTTTTGAATGAATAGTGGCTACTCATTCACAGTCCTGTTCTGTCAGTGTGAGCCCTCATATTTTTCACCATTTGATGCTTTTCAGTTAAAACTTAGAATTCTGTTGCCTTGTAATCCTGACCTGTAATACGTATTGCCTTGTATCAGGCTGTGGTGTATCTTTCAAGTTCCAGTTTTTATCAAACCTATGCCCACTGAGTCACTAAGACTGCAGATCCCAAATTGCAGATTTCCTTCAAAAATAGACATTCCAAGTCTGCTTTCTATTGGGGTGAGACTATTTGGATATAAAATTTAAATTAAACCTGGATAATGTGTGCCCAATTGAAAACAGCATTGGCAGGCAGCAGCTGCAGCAGGGAAGAGCATATATCTCTTAGTCTCTAAATATACAAAGAGAGAAGGCTAGGGGTTTTTTTGTTTGTTTTTTTTTTTTTTTTTACTCTCTGTGGCACTGGTGAAAGCATAACCATGCTGACAAAGCTATAGCTGGGTGATTTATGGTGCAGTACTTCCATGAGGAGATATCAAAAGGGGAGTCCAGTAGAACCCAAGTACCAGCCAAATCAGCTGCCTGTCAGTAATACCAGCCTGGGTAGAAATGGATGGAGACAATGTACTATGATTGGCAAAGAACAAGAATAAAAAAAAAAAACAAAAAAAACATTAGGTGAAACAGGAGCACCCTGGGAATAGAATTGTTTCAAGGAGCCCCTGTTGGCTAACAGAGACTGAGGACAAATACCAAACAGCCTCAGCTGAATAAGCTTTAAACATTTTATAGAAAGCTGAAGCAGAGTACCTTAGCCTAATTCAACCTATTTATATGAGTGTTTTGTGAACTTAATTACAAATTTTGAATGTTTCCAAATGATTTGAGTGTTTTTGTTACAATGACTTGTCTAGCCGGGCTTCTCAACAGAAAGTTGCCTGGAAGGAGAAGCTACCTAGACACTGTAAATATTTCTCATCTTGAGGTGTTTGTGATCTCAAATGACTCCAGAACTTGCAGAGACTATTTTAAATCAATTCAGTGAGTGAAGGCTTCAGTGATTGCTCATGCTGTCTCTGGTTAGTTTTTTGTTGATTATCTGACTGGTTGGTTGATTTTTTGCTTTTGTCTCTTGGTGTTAGTCGTATGACTGTCTGCGTTTATGTGAAGTGTTTCAGTAGGCTCTGAAGTCAACACCCAGGCACACTGATATCCCAGGTTACCATGGAGTATTAAAGGCTACATGGAAGTGACAGCTTGCACTCAGTAACTATGTGTCTTACATTAAAGGGTCTGGCTATGTAGTTAAGTCCATCACTGAGCTTCCAGGAACCTACCAGACACATGGGAATAGGTGCCTTCCCTCAAACAACAGTCAGCAAAGACGGGAGCAGCTTGTGGAGCTCAGTACTCTTGAAATTGAGATGAGCAGGTGGTCTCTAAAGCAGCTATTTGTTTCACATGTGCCCAGAGACAGGATAACTTGTGATTACAGGAAGAAGCTGATATGAGGGAAAGGGCTTGAGACTGCTTTTGAATTATAGGTGTCTAAAATGATGGCAGCATAAGAAATGGTAGACACAAAGGCCCCTGAGCCCCGTAAGCCTTTAATCTACAATGCCCAGAATAATGGTGAAAAAAAAGCAGAGATACATCTCAAGTGTCTGGCTTATTTCCCCATCTAAATTAACTGTAAGCACCATAGTTATTTACAACATGCAAAAAGTGTAAAGATGATAGTTAAAGTACTTACTTACTTTATAGAGACAACATAAATACTGTTGCATGCAAATCTCCCACAAACAGCAGCAGGAGTTTTAACTCTGGATGACTTCAGGATTTGGTATAGTCTTTACTAGGTGGTGATTTTTTCAATGAACAAGGAAAAATGATGTGAAAGGAGTTGATAACATTACAGACCCTTTCTTTTTGTGATCTCTCCTTAATTTAACAACTCAAAAGTGGTAACGACAGATTTCTAAAAGTTACATGCATGATTCAACTGTACCACAATTCTGCTACTAGATTCACTCAAACTATTGTTTCATGAAAAACTTCTTATGAAGTCTGCCCCATAGGATGCACTGTAGTGGGGTTTTCCTTGAACGCATCAGACATCTTGTTTAGGAGCAAATTTTGTGTTTCATTTTCCTATCTTACCCTATCAAGGTTTATTGTTTTATACTTTATACTTGATCCTGCATCTTTTTTCCATCCAAGTTTTTTATCAATGACAAACTATGTGGCCTGAGCAACTTTGAGAAGTCCCTCTGTCCCAGGGCGCGTGTTTGAGCCGCTGTACAGATCAAGCTGTTAGCAAAGCAGTAATTTCTAACGAGAAGAGCTGAGTAAGCTGTGGTAAGTAGGGGGTTTTCTATCGAGAAGAGAGAGGTTGTGTCCCTGCCTCCCCGTGTCACAGCCCTGCGGGGCGGTGCTCGCGGGGCCTGCGGCCGGGGCGGGGGCGGCCCGGCCCTGCCTGGCGCGGAGCCGCTTCCCCCTCGGCGGGGCTGCGCCTCTTAAGGGCGGCGCGGCCGGCCCCAGAGCGCCGCCAGCTCTCCGGCCGCGCTGCCGTGCTCGGTCCGGGCGGTCCGCAGCGCAGCCGAAGCCGACAGCGGGCAGCCCCATGCGGCACGGGCGGCCTTAGGCTGCGCGTCGGCCGCAGCATGCCGCTCCCTCTGCGCCTGGCGTGGCTGTGCTGGCTCTGCAGCGTCTGCCGCGGGTACTTCGAGGGGCCGCTGTACCCGGAGATGTCCAACGGGAGCCTGCACCACTACTTCGTCCCTGATGGGGACTACGAGGAGAACGACGACCCCGAGCGGTGCCAGCTGGTGTTCCGGGTGAGCGAGCAGCGGCAGTGCGGCGCGGTAGCGGCGGGCGGCGGGCTCAGCCTGCGCGAGGAGCTGACGGTGCTGGGGCGGCAGGTGGAGGACGCGGGCCGGGTGCTGGAAGGCATCGGCAGGAGCATCTCCTACGACCTGGACGGCGAGGAGAGCTACGGTGCCTACCTGCGCCGCGAGTCCGCCCAGATCAGCGACGCCTACTCCAGCTCGGACCGATCCCTGAGCGAGCTGGAGGGCAAATTCCGCCAGGGCCAGGAGCAGGGCGGCCGGGAGGAGTCCCGTCTGAGTGACAGCTTCCTGGGGCTGCTGCTGCACGCCCGCGCCCTGCTCCGCGAGACCCGCCACGTCTCCAGCGGGCTGCGTGACAAGTACGACTTGCTGGCCCTCACGGTGCGCAGCCACGGCGCCCGCCTCAGCCGCCTCAAGAACGACTATCTCCGCGCCTGAGCGCGGAGCGGCCGAGCCCGGACCAACACCGGCTTCTAGACACCCCGAGCCCTGCCGCCGGCCCCCCGGAATGCACAACCCTGCTGTCCGCCTGGAAGGAGCACCTCCTTGGACAAACCCTAGAATTACGAAGCTCGGAAAAGACCTCCGAGATCGTCAAGTGACTGAACACCACCACGCCCACTAAACCATATTGAGAAGTGCCACATTTGCTCATTTTAGAACGCTTCCAGGGATGGTAACTCAACCAAAATACATTCTTCTTCATGGAAAAAAACCTTATTTATTTTACCTTCTAAACAAATAGCACAGTTCTATAAACCAGGAGGTTTGAGGTATGTTTAAGTTAATATCCCATATACCCTCTGTTATATCATTCATCTTTGGTCACAAAATGAAATAAGCTTTCTCATCTGTGACTCCCTGTTGTTTGTTTTTGTATCACCTGTTCTGCTGTGGCTCACCTGCCCTAAGTGTAGCTGAAGTGAGGTGCTGGCCAGCTCGTTCCAGACTCCTGTGTAGCAAATACTTAAATTGCTTTTGTTGTTAGTCCTTTAGGATGACACCCCTGGCCCTCCATTAACTTCATTTCTAATGATATGTATTATATGCTCCTTAAATGTCCTTCCACTGCATAAAGCTGTTATTTTCATTTGTGTTTGGAAAGATGGGAACTATTGTGGCAGGATTTGTACTTCCAGGCTTGCTTATCTGTGACTCTAAGCTATCATAACCCTAGGAGGCAGCCAAAAAGGCTTATGTCAGATCCTGAGAATGCTGGTGGAAATTTTTATAGCAAAAAGAATGAGCCCTAGTGCTGATTAGAGTTTTGGATCCCATATTTGATAGCCAGGAGCATGTTTCTAAAAAAGACGAAAAGGTTTTGTGTGTGCAAGCACATTGACTTTTCCTGTTGGTGACTTTGTACTTTTGCTAGCTAAGTTATTAATGTAACTTTGTGGTCCTAGACAACAGCAAAAGTGCCTGATGGGAACGAGGGTGGAGGTTTTAGACTCATTGCTATTTAACTGACAATTTTGGATAATGGGGCTATTAGGTTACAGATACTGCAGGCAGAACACCTCTTGGGATGAAAAGAGTTTATAGGTTGTTGTAATAAATATTTGAAAACAATGTTAAAGTACATTTTTGTTATTGCTTTCCAAAACGCTCTTGATTTTAAAACGTTCTCTTGAAATGTGCCTTTTCAGCAAACCATTCAAAGCTTGTAGCCCCTGCCAAGTGAAATAACTTGTGTTTTAGTAAAAACAAATAAAAATTTACAGACTCATGAGGTTACATGAAATGCAACAATACAAAAGGGCTTGTGGGGCAGACTTTTTTGAGTTTTTAAGCCTTTTTAAGCACTCATGGAAGAGAAGCTGATGTACTTCTGAGGTGTGTTCTTGTTAACCCTGCTCCCATTTAGTAATACTTCAGTCTGCAAACCATTCAGTAGGTAAGTTACTCAGCAGTACAGTTGGTCAACATAAGTCAGCTTGGACTAGTGTGCTGAAGGCACCAGGAAAGTCATGAAGGTAGGTGCTTAAGGAACCAGACAGCTCATTTTGCTGAAGGCAGTGAAATTTAGCCTACTGGCAAGATACTTTAGATGTCATTTTGCATTTTTAAGTCCTCAGTATCTTTAAAGATTTACTGAAAAAAAAAGGAAACATTTTATATTGGTTGACTCTGGTGGAATCGCTCAGTGTTATTTTTCTGTTCTCAAGTTAGAAACTATATGACAAGTTTTAGCTCTTAAAGATTCATTTATTTGTGATGCTTTCCTTGCCACTAGAGACGGATGGCACAACAGAAGAGTGAGCCGAGTCACTGAGTCTTATGTGCTCACTATCTTAGCAAAACATAATAGCATTTCTGGGCTGGACCAAGCTCTAGAAGCGCCTGAGACCAGTCTCCCCCGAAGATGTCATGCAGTTCCATTTGTGCCCAGAAGCTTCTTAAAGAAAATTTAAGTCTGTGTTTTACCCACTTTGAGTCATTTGTTACATGAATTGTAAACATCAATAAATAAACAGAAATGGCATGACTGTGCTATTTTTTAGGTATATGAGAACAGTATTCAAATCCTAATAGAAAAATAGTAGTAGTGTAAAGCACAACTTCTTGGATATCCTTTAAGAAGCTTGACTATTCTATTTGCAGTAGCAAATGTTTGGTCAAGCTGAAACTATTCCAGTGTATGCAGCATACCAAAAGAGTAAATGTTTGCAGAATGCTTACATTTCAAAGCAGGAGATGTGTGAGTATTTACAGTATAACTCATTCCACTCAATGCCCTGTAAATTGTAATCTAATGAAACAAGACTGTGGTACTTTACAATCCACACTAATGTTTCATATGATAAATATGAATTCTTGATGTTTCATGTTTCAGTAAAATATAAACATTTTTTTATTTTAAATATGGCAATATTCTGTTTTTGTTTCAGTAGCATTGATTTTTGAAGGCTTTAAATGGTCCTTTCTAGGAGAAAATAAAGATACCTGAGTCTGGTCTATGTATATGTTCACACATTTAATACAAATAGTCAATCTTATGTCGATTTGATGAAGCCAATACAAAAATCTTTTAGGACATTTAAATCTACTAGAGTTTGATTTGCATCATTTTGGCTGACCAAGCAAATTTATATGTTAAATATATAATTTTTGATATATTTGTCAAAATATAAATTTTGATAAAATTTATCAAAGCTGAGTCAGAGCTGATACATAAAGTGGTTTTTATAGAGCTGCCTGCAAGAACTGAGTGCTTAGTGATATTCACCAGTTGAAAGTTTTAAATGCAATTTTTTTCTTTAAAAACTATGGAAACTATATTGCAATATTCTTTGCAATCTTATAAATGTCTTGCTTTTGCTTTTTACCTGAAAAAAACTTATTAGTTTGGAAGGTATGAAGATCCCCTGGATCTGGATCTTCATACGGCTTATTTTAAACAGTAAAGGCTCTTCTATCATTGAAAATTTGGTAATTATTTTTAAGCCGAGAACTTTAAAAGGATATTTGTAGCAGCAGTCATCCCCATTATGTCTTTCTGTTATGTTAAAATATTGTATTGGTATTAGATTCATTTTTCTTTTTCAGAATGTAGAAGTTCGAGCTAAAATTGAGCTGACAGTGGGGTTTTTTTGTAGTTTTTTATGATTTTCAAAACATGTATTATTTCTGAATGTATTAAAGAGTTAATGGTGCTGAAGAGCAAACTATGATTTTCTGGATAAAAAAATGCTGCAGCTGGAACAGTCATAGAGAGCTCACTTAATACTTAAGCTTTTCATCAGGGGGAGCAGGCTACCCAGAGAAGGTGTGGATGCTCCATCCTTGAAAGTTTTCAAGGCCAGGCTAGATGGAGCTCTGAGCAACCTGGTCTAGTGTCTCTACCCATGGCAGGTGGATTGGAATGAGATGATCTTTAAGGTCTCTTCCAACTCAAAGTGTTCTATGATTAGAGTCAAAGCAAGGCACTAAGGAACTCACCTGCACTTCTCTCCAGGAAGCTCACTTTTGGAGGCAGTGCTCTGATGTGGGCATTCTCATATCCACTGATATACACAGAACAGAAGAAGCTCAGAGTATGCAGAAAACCCTTAACAAAAGCTTGAGAAAGGAAAATGTACTTGCCTTGTGCCAAATTAATGGATAGGAATTCAGAGGGGAGTGTGCAAACTGGATTTCAAAACTGCAGTTTTCAGTTTCACAGGTTGACTTACCCAGGACCATCAACACAAAGAGAAGTCAAGCGAAGCTTTCAAAACCTTGGTGAGCCTTTAAAAAAACCTTATGTGTGCCAAGCTGGAGTGTATGAATTGTCTGAAGCTAAATTATTGCTCCTATTGGTTGTCACATACTGAGATGCAGTTTGGCAAGACATAAACCTCATTAGCAAAAAATATACCTGGCTTAGTCACTAGAAACAACCTTGTGAGCTACAGAGCTCTGGTTATAATCTTGTCTAGGAAATGTGTATTTTGTGGAGAAATTCTATTGGATGTGTCTATTAGTGTTGGTGTGGCTGTTTATTTACATGGTCTTTATGTTGCTTTACCAGTTTCTTGCTCATCCTTTTTGAATATCAATTTTGTGACTATTAAAGAAATTTTCAGCTAACACTGAAGTGTTGTGAGTGAAGTGCATTTCACAGCCACCATTCCTGAAGTAAGCATGTGGATTCAAAGTCGGTAATTTTTCTGTCTTTTAATGTATTTTTACTGCAATTCATAGGGGAAATTGGTTTTTTATTACCTAGTGGGGTTTTTTTGTTTTTTTTTTTTTTTTTTTGGTTTTTTTTTTTTTTTTGTGAGCAATTAGCAAAACATTGTTCAATTTGTGGGTCTGCATTTCATTTCTATACTATGTGAAACTGGCAAAAAAAACCCTGACTGTGCTACATGCTTCTTTAAAAAGCTGTTACTAGAACATATGTGTAAGAAAAAGACTAAAACTTCCTATTTTATTTTCTTCATTGAGTTGTCATCCTGCCTACAAGATCAATTTATAACTGGAAAAGGCAGAATTTAATGACTACATCTGTAACAAGGAAAACATATGGTCTCCATAACCATTACATTTTTAATGATGTGGCTTGGACAGAGCCATTCCTCCTTCAAAACTACCTTACCTTGGGGAGGTACTGCTGGCAGTCTCCAACATGTCATTAGCATTCTTTCATAAGAAATGACAATGCCAAGACTATCATGTTTTCTCAGATGACAACCTTCCTTAGACTGTGTACTCCCTTTGTAGGTGCTTAGAAACTGTCTGTTTAGTAGCCATTGCTCATGTCTAAACCTTCTTGTAGGGTGGAGAAGGAAAGTCATTGGAGAAGGTTGGTTTAGGGAAGAGATTCTTATCCAGTGAAGTGGATAATATAAATATTGTGAAGAGCATGGTGACTAAAAAAGATATGTACTTGCATCATATTTTCCACTCTGCAAATTTTTCCCTGTGACTGGAGTTACCAACATAGAGTAGTTTTAGTGTTATAATAGAAATGTACTGTTATTAACACTTATCGCTTGATATTATATATTTGGTATATAGTGTAAATTCTATTATTTACACTAAAAAATTGGACACACTCCAAACTTCAAGATGTTTTTTTCTGTCTACTTGTTATTTCTTCTCAAAAATAGCATGACTATGATTTTTAGTTTAGTGTTACTTTTTAATCCATGAAAATCAATTCAGTGGACTTTTAGTTTCTCAGCTGGATTTATCTAAGACCTTGTTATGCCTTTTTTGGGGTAATGATTAAGAATTATTTCCTTTACACTTTCTGTGTGGACAGCTTTTTGGTTAATGAAGAGCAGTTAATTTTTTCTTAGTAGCAGGCTTTGTCCTTTCTTAATATGGTTTTGTTTCTAATTTAATGCATTTCATCTGAGATTTGTAATAAAGTAGTGCACTTTTTACTCAGGATTCAAACAGAGGTACAAAAAAATTGCAAGCTAATTCATAATTCATAACTGGATCTGCATATGAATTGGGATGCTATTAGGTTTGTGACTTTAAATAATATCTCATATACTCTCTAATTTCAGAAGAGTAACCCTAGGAAAAAAGAGTGAATGAACAAGAGGCCCTCTTCATCCAATCTACCAGATGTAGGTTACATCTGGTTTTTTAAAGCCCAGGTTCTTTTTTTCTTTCCACACACCACCACCACCACTCCCTGCCAGGAGCCTGAAGTGGTATTCAGGCAGTGTCTTCACCGGCCCTTCACAGGCAGTGCTGTGCAGCCCTGAAGGAAGGTGGGTACACGGGGCTTTCTGCATTTACGGTGCGTATTTGCTGATCACTTGTGAGGTAACAGCATCAGACGAATGTTTTTCTGCAGACACTGGCATGCTGGAATGTAGGCACAGAGTTTGTGGTGGTTGGGAGTGGGGCTGTGTCTGAGCCTCATCCCCAAAGGGTACAGCTGTGAAAAGGAGGTGAGCAACATTGGAAGCAATGAGCCATGGAGTGCCCAGATGTGCTGAGCAACCACACAGGGAACAGAGGCACACAGGTGGCAATGCATGTAAGAAGACGAGTATAAAAGGCTGGGTTAAAGAACAAGACGGGCAGGTACCTGCAGCCTTCTGAAGAGGTATGGTGTTACTCTGTATAGGTGGATGCTTAAAGCCTTCTGATACTGTGTGGTAATACTTTGTGTACCATCTGGACTGTAACATATGCTGCAACACTGGAATACAAGGTGATATAGTCTAGCCTTGCAACCAAAGGCACTAGACATTTTGTACTTAGGCAAGGGTGATACCAGGGGTGATTTCAGCTAGAAAACAAACTTTCTAACACAATTTGAAGCATTGGAAGAAAGGCATTCTTTATTCACAGCATGCTGAACACACTCAGAAGATATCTCCCTAAACAGGTGTGTCATGAAACTTTACAAGAAGTTATTCCATCATGATCATATGTATTGATTACAATGTACTTCCCTGCTAATACACAAACACCACTTTTCCTAGAACTGATTTGCATGCATCTTTCTCTTACTGGGAGTCCTTTTGTGGTCCTGCAGAGTCTTCTAAGGGGTCTCTGGTTGTCATACTCACTGAGTGCCCCCAGTGTTGCAGATGACCTCACCTTGAACTTCTCTTATGGCCTACTCTGTTTCATCTTGTTACATGGCTTTGCCACAAAAGCCACTATGGTTCATCATTATCTGCTTATCTACTGATTACAGTTATGTTTAACACCCTTTTTGTCTACTTTTACTTTCTTGTATCTGTTTTGTTAGTTAGTCTTTAAGCTCTATTTAGCAACTTCAACAGGAACTGAAAATGTCTGTTTTCTGTCAAGCTGTCAAGTCCCCCCCTTTTCTTGACATTATGTCTCTTTTAGGCAAGTCTCCATGTTTAATTCCAGCACAAAGTGTTACAACTACTGTAACATTGAATCATAATAAAGGCAGGCACACACACTACAAAATTTACAATGACTGCCATAAATGGGTTTTGTAGCAGTCTCCAATTTGGTAGCCGTGACGTAAGCCAAGCCCACCCAGAAGAATTTTCCTCTTTGGGCCACTCTTCTACTGCTCTTTCTGTTGAGGTGATTCCTGTCTTTTGGACTTCAAACCCATCGTCGATGTAAGTGCAACACTACTGTCCTATCCTAATACATGTTCTTCCTTGGCTGGCAAGCAGATAATCTGACCATGCAGTTCTGTAGAGCCACGGTTTCTGTTTGTTGGAGCTAAAAGGATGTGCTATTTAATACTTAAATTCTATCATTTGCCACTTCTAATAATCTATTTAGCTTGTTTATATAAACTGACAGGACAAGGTAGTGCACATAGGGGATAGCATGAACCATAATCTTTTGCTTTCTGAAATTGAAGGGGTGTATTGCAGATCATCCTGTGTTCACTGGATGGAAAACGTTCTCTTGGCCCTAGCTCTTATTGCGGATTTTGCCGAAGTACCCTAAGGGGAGGAATTAATATTGCTTGGAATCAGGAACCAAACCATCCTTTAAGAAGCCATTTATAGGCATTGTTTCTGCATAGCCAATAGGTGCCACTCCCAGTACCAACCATCTGATTTCCTGTTTTCCACTACTGCACTACTAATGGAGTTAGGGCTTCTATATCTGATTATTTTGTGTCCTCACTGCCATTAGGCCAGGGACAGTCAGAGACACTTGATGTTGTGTCTTGTGTGGTGCAGCTGAGAAAGAGAGGACTATGTGCCTGGCCATCACCTGGCACACAGGTCCCACCTAGGAAACTTAAGCACTGTAGTACAAGTAGTGACAGATTTAGTTGTTGTGAAATTCTTTATTGAAACAGACGGTGAAGACATGCTGCGTGGCCTCTGTGCAGAACTTAACCCCTAATACTCTTACCACTCCACTCGTATAAACCAGAAAAAATCCTACTGAAAGGAGAAGCTTCTGTGTATGAAAGAAAAGCTAGACTTGCTTACTCCCATCTTAGCAGCCTCCTGCAAGTGGCACATGTGCAACTCCTCCTCCACATGCCTCTGACAATCAGTGTTGAGACAAATCAAAATGAAATTGGCTCTTCACAGCTTGACGTGTATTTTGTGTTACCAAGTTACCTGTTATCAGATGAACAAATACCAGGTAAGTGACATTTGTGACAGACAATAAACACACCTCAGTTTCTTGCCATAAAAAATGTGATTCTCTATTACCTTAGAGTCTCTTAGAAGCAAGTTTAGATTTCTTAACTGAATGGTAAAATAGGAGATGACTGGAAGCCCTTTAAACCTGGCAAGCTTCACACAGGACTTCAGATTAAGTGATGAATCTTCCCTTTGAGACATTGAGACAGTAAATGTTTAATATATTTTCCAGTCCCTTGTTTTGACATTTTGAAGAAAAATATTTCTAGAATGTCTGTATACAAAATCCAGGTAGTTATAACCACCATGCTAAAATTAAAGAACAGCCTTTGTTTAGGTTAAACACTAAGCATGTGGATAATACTAAAATTATTTGGCAACCCATTTGCATAAGATGAGAAATTTGTGTACAAAACCAGTGTGTGGACTACTGGATAGATGAATGTAATGGATGTATGAAATACCTTATGGAGAAACTTTGAAATTAAATACTGTGGGGTTTAATATGTATATCCAGACCTTTAGATTTTTCCTGCTTCCCTCATTTAGTGAGCTGGAGGAGCTTCCTGCTGGCCTTAAACATCTAAAGCAAATTCTGATTCTCATGGTCTTTTCTTAAGCAAATACCTACAGGAGTGCCTACTAGACTTAGTACACAGAGAAAAGTGCTTTGTTCCACAATTCCTTATACATTGCAGGATAAGTGGAATAATTTGATCTGACCATTTCTGTTGCTCAGATACCTCAATTCATGTGCATGTGAGTACCATGCCTTGTGCTGGACAATTCAGCATTATCCAGGGGTCAGGCAATGTGAGTGGAATAATTTGATCTGACCATTTCTATTGCTCAGATACCTCAATTCATGTGCATGTGAGTACCATGCCTTGTGCTGGACAATTCAGCATTATCCAGGGGTCAGGCAATGTGACTCATTACTATCAGGTAAACTGCTAGCTTGAACAGAGAACTATCCAAAAACGATATAGCAAAAGTTTATGGCATGTTGAA